CGGATATCTATTGGTCCCCCTGATAGCTACCCGATTGGTCCCTGATATATGCCTGAAATATGGATTTCGACCTGTGTTACTTGCAATGATACAGCTTAATATTTTTGATATACTGAAGTTATTAGAATTGATCTTATATTTTTTAGAAATTAATTATTCCCTCTACCTTACTTTATTTGTTAACCATTTTTGGTATTATTGCAGTGTTTCAATTCTATAGTAACATATTAAGTTTTTTACAGAAGATTATTAAAAAAACCAGTGTAGTTGAAAGATGCTTTAAACTCTTAATCAATGATTGATAAACTTAAAAAAAGTTATGTGTGGAAAGATAAAATTAACTTATTATTTCAAGATGATATATCTCAGATTGAAAGGTTTAAAAATCACAGATACATTGATTAGTATAATTTTACACTTATGTTTAGATATACAATAGCTTACAAAAGTATTGTAACACCTTTTTTTTGTCTTTAAAAAATTATACAGCCTAAAAGATGATTTTAGAATAATGGTTACTAAGCTCATTTTAATTTTTAAGTTTTGAAAATTTTTTTGAGATGTTTTCGATATTAAACCAATAATCCCGATTTTGCGTAAACAGGTGATCTATATAGTAAATTGTTACTTAATAAAATTTCAATTGTGAATAAAATTTTATGTAGAATGGTTACAGCCAAGATAATTATAGGATTAATAGTTCTTCCTGAGAAGATCTGACATATCACAATTGAATCAGTAATTCCTAAAAAATTAATCCTTGAAAATTGAAAATTTACTAATAAAAAAATTTCTTAATTATTTTATTAATAAAATTTCAATTTTCAAGGATTAATTTCTCAGTAACTACTGATTCAATTGTTATGAAATTTGATATGCCAGATTACTTCGAGAAGAATTATTAATTCTATAATCATCTTGGCTGTAACCATTCTGCATAAAATTTTATTCACAATTGAAATTTTATTAAATAACAATTCACCATATAAATTATCTGTTTACGTAAAATTGGGATTATTAATTTAATATCAAAAAAATTTTCAAAATCCAAGAATTAAAATAAGCTTAGTAACTATTATTCTAAAATTGATTGTTTAGGCTATATAATTTTTTAAAGACAAAAAAAAGTGTTGTAATACTTTTGTAAGTCACTATACATATTTTTATTCTTGATTGAAGTGATAATTTCTCTAATATTTTGATTATAGAAATTGCAAAATTTTTTTTGAAACTATAGTATTTGAGTCTTAATTCATGTATATATTTCACTAATTAATATATTACTGAAATTGCTCACTTATATTCAAACTTAAATATTTTGAGCTTGATGTTTATTCAATTGGTGATGAAGTTATTAAGAAGATATTATGCAACTGTACTAATTTAAAATATCTTAGTTTGGAGGAATATAAAAAGATTGATAAAGAAGTAATGAAAAAATTTAATCCTAAAATTAAAATTGAATATTTTGATTATTCAGATAATAAATGATTCAATTTTATTCACCTCTATATATTTTAACTTTTAAAGATCTATCATTAAATAAAACAGATTTTATTTTTACAATCAATAATTATATTAGAGAGACTGTATACACCTGAGACTAAAATAGTCTAATCTAAGATATTTTTTATTTATATAAATAAAAAACATCTCAATGATAAATATAAACAATTAATTTATAAATAGAAATTTTCAATTTATTCATATTTATAAATAAGAATTTCTGTTTTATAATCTTTTGTTTCAATTTATATTATCAATAAAATTTTAATTTTTATTTATTAAATTAATATAACAAGAAATTACAATTATATTAGAAGATATTTTAAACAAAAATAAAAAAATTTGAATACAAAATAGGATCATTCCTCAGTTTTTGAACTTGTTATTAATAAAATTCCTTAGTAATTTATATCAATAATAAAATTTTAATAAATTATTATTTGTTTTTTAATGAAATATTTTATTACTTTATTTAATATTTAAACATATTTCTTAATAAATTTATTATTTTTCCTAGTAATTAAAGTAAATATTTTTCTTAGTGTAATTTATTTCTTAATGATAATTATATTTATAAAACTTTACAATTTGTAATTTCAAATCCTTTGTATTTGTATTATTAATATACAAGTCTCTTCAACTTTAGTATATTATATATAATTACTATATAATCATTATACTTAAAATTTTTTTTGCTATTAGTTAAAAATTTCCTAATTTTTTTTTGAAAGTACAATTAGATTAATAACATATCAGATATATGCCTTTATACTTGAATTAATAAGATTCTTGATATTTATCAAATCAATTATTATTTAAAAAATAAACACATATTAAATAATCAAAAATCAAAAAATTTTGGTACAAATTAATTTAGCCTTTTTGGTCATTCACAAATTTCTTTGTCTTATTTACATTATTTACAATCTTTTTACCTATTTGTATATTATTCACAAATCTTCCTACTTTTTTGTATATTATTTCAAAACTTTCTGTTTATTTGTATATTATTCACAAATCTCTCTACTTATTTACATATATTTTCCTGTCTATTTGTATCAAAAATTTTGTCTATTTTTTTTATTCAACTTGTGAAATTCTCTTGTTCTAAATTCATTCATTTAATATCTTTACTCTGTATCTTTTAATATTAATCCTTTACTAAACTTTTAGAAATAATGTTTCTAATTATATATGTTTTCAAAATTGATTTTGAATTTTTGATGTATGCAAAATCTAATCTATATATGGAAGTAAAAAAGTATCTAATTAAGTATATTTTTAATTAAAGAATAGAAATCAAGTTTTAAAAAATTTCATTTTCTATATAAAATAATTTCATCTTCTATAAAAAACTATTTCAACTTACTATAATAGCCTATTTTGCATGCAAGTATATTCCTAATGGTAAATTGAATTAAATCAATTTTACAATAATTATTTATTAAGAAAATTTCATGTACTTTTCAACTGTATTATTTATATAATACAAGTTTATTACATATTGAATAATTAAAATTGATAAAATTTTTGATTCAAATTGTATCTACCTATTTTTTCCTGTTTTACAGCAAATAAAATAAAGAAAAATTAAGTAAGAAATATTGCAAGAATTATTTGTGAAGATGTGTAGAGTCAAAGTTTTGTCAATTTCTACACAAACAAATTATCCTGCCTGTGTATATGATACTTGTTAAAAAATCTGCACATTTTTCTTCATTTAACCTGTATATAAAAGTCAAAAATTCAGAGCTCTACTTAAAAGTACCGTTTCAAATATTATTATTATTCTATTATACTTTTTTTGATACTCTGTTATATATAATATTAAATAATTAATATATATTTTCTATTATACTTAAAGCTAACACTTTTCACAATACATCAGAAATATTTATAAAATATAATATTCCAGAATATCTTTGTAACTTACAAAATTTTTTAAAAGGATATCAAACTTTAAACTTTTAAATGTCACTATAAATAAAATTCTGGAATGTCAATGCCAGGTAAATTAAATTTCTTGACTTTTGCTTACGATTACACAACAGGAAGTAATTTTCTACCAAGGTATTCTTAATATCACGTTATTGAACTAATAAAGATACATTGTTAATAAAAAGAAATTTTTTTTAGTTAATGATTATATATGATCGGGTATAATTAAAATACAGTCAGACCCTCTATAGTTACACCCTATATAGTCACAAAATCAATATAGTCACACCTTTCATTAAAACCAACGCCTATTAATGCTATGTAAAAAAACCTCTATAATTGTCACATCTCTATATAGTTACGGTTTTTTGTATCCCGAAGGTGTGACTATAGAGGGGTCTGACTGTAATTTACTTTTTTAATTATTTTATTATTTGATAAAATAAGCAAATATATTTATATTTTTATTTTGAAAAAGTAGTCTGTTGATAAGAAGAGTTGGTCAACAGCCACATTTAATGAAAAAACCTGTTTTTGATAGGGAAGATCAGTAATAAACGGTTTGTTTTATCAGATGATCGGATGATAATGATCTTTTTAAGAGTGAAACGATAATCGATAACTGATAATCAATCTATTCTTGAGGGTATCCAGTATACACCGTGAAAATCTTCCCAAAAAGAGCATAATGGTTGACTCGGAACTTTTCTACGTGACTCCAACGTGACTTCGCCGAAACAGGAATATAAAATTAGGCAATATACATCTACATTCCGATAGTTCACGTGTTTGATAACAGACAATAAAGGTTTATCTATTAACTAAAATTATGTATGTATTTATTTACTATGCTTCCTTTTTAGCACTAATAAAATTGTTTTCTTTATCTGATACATAAAATTACACAAATGTGAGACAGAGGAGATCATATCTTCTTAATCAAATTAAATAAATTAAATGCATATATTATTTCTTGATGATCAATTGTATATCAAATATAAATATATACCAAGAATTCTCTCTTTAGAAGATATTTTTTTTTACATTTCCTTAAGATTTAAATTTTAGTACTACTATCATCATTATGAATAAAAGAGAAGCAGCACCTAAACGCGCATTTACCGATGGACACAAAAGTAAGAATTTAGTTAGAATTTTATTTAGGACGACTATTACTAACAAAAAAAATTCTCTTGACTTCATAGTTGAATATAATGCGTCCCGAATTAATAGCCTTATCGCTCCACTTACTATAAAATTCTCTGATATTGGTGAAGATCCTGATGCCTTACTCGAAAATAATAAAGTATGGGCGAGAGCTCACACAAAATTAAATCCGGATTTTTTTATTGACCAAGCTAAAGGACAGCAACCTAAGATTGTTTGGTTTGGTAAACAAAACTTTTGATTCTAATATGCGTACTACAGTAAATATAAAGCTCGTTTTACATGTTTGTTTATTTTTTTACTTGTAGGATGTTCGGATTCACGTGTTCCTGCAGAAACGGTTGTCCAACTGGGACCTGGCGAAATATTCGTTCACAGAAATATTGCTAATCAATTTAATCACGCTGATTTAAATTGTTTATCCGTGTTACAATATGCTGTGGAGCATCTGAAAGTAGAACATATTATTGTATGTGGTATGGATTGATTTATTCAAAAATTTTTTTTAAACGTTTAATTTATTGAGTTCAGTTGGTAATATGTTATTTCTTTCGCCAAAGGACATTATGGCTGTGGTGGTGTAATTGCTTCCATGTCAAATGAACAACATGGTCTTGTGGATCACTGGTTGCGTAACATTAAAGATATTTATCATGAACACAAGGAAACATTTGATAACACAGATAAAGACCATTCTGATTTATTGGTTGAATTAAATGTTAAACAACAAGTTTATCACATTTCAGCTACTAATATTGTTCAAAATGCATGGGCACTTGGTAGAAAACTTGAAATTCATGGTTGGGTTTATGATTTAAGCACTGGTCTTCTCAAAAATCTTGATGTAGATGTTAAAAATGCAGAAAGTTTGTGTGATAAGATCTATATTTGTAGATAATTTGATAAATGCAGGAAAATATCAAATTACATTAGAATTTAGTTACATTATTTATTACATTATAATTTCTTTATTTCTAAATTTTTTAATAAATAAATTAGATTTTTTAAAATACTCTTTAAATTAATAATTTTGTTTTTGAATTAAAGTTAATCTAGTAATTTATGACACGTGATTGTGAATTACTCTAAACATAATGAGTTGGGAAGAACTGAATCGAAAGTGTTACATTAACTGTGGCTCGAAATATCGTTCATGTGACAAATTTTGTGACCAGATCTAATATAAATGAAACAAGCGCGTCTCACTCTATTATTATTGACAATGGAAGTTATTTTCTTTCCTCTTTTAATATTCATTCAAGAGATAAACGCTTCTGCTAAATATTTACTAGTTTTAAGAAATTCTATAATTGTTAATAGGGTTGTAAGTTTTTTTTATATAAACGTGCTTTTTCGCGTTTTACACAAATGCCAACACAAAAATCACCAAAAAATAATTTGAGTATTCAACTCCAATGGTTTAGTAGCCTTGGACAAAATCGCCGTGAATATTTTCCTGCGGCTAATGAAAAGGCAAATTCAATTAATGGCAATAACATTAAGAATATTGGTAATAATATTAATAACGCTAAGAATATTAATAATAATATCAATAACGTTAAGAATATCAATAATAATATTAATAATGTTAAGAATATCAATAATAATAATAATGTTAAGAATATCAATAATAATATTAATAACGTAGTTAATAATATCAATAACGTCGATAACATCAATATTAAGGAAAAATCAAATTTAACTTTGGGATCTTCCTTCGAAACAGCCATTGATATAAGTGACGATATACCAAATAATGATACTCAAACGTGTGACGAAGATTGGTTAGTGGATTTCGAACCATGGGATGAAGAAGAATTACGAGAAGATGCTGAATTATTCAAAAATCAGTATTCGAATCTTAGCGCACCTAATTTATCTGATAGATTCAATTCATCTGAAGGATTTACAATCAATTCTGATAAATTCACTAACAAAGGTCCTAACAATGACGAATTTGTAGTTACACCTTTAAATTTAGGCCTCGATTTCAAGAAATTAGAAAATATCAATCTTGAAAATGTCTTATGGCAAGAAAACAATCGAGATCTTGAAGTAATGTCACATAAAGAATTGATTGAGGCTTTAGATTCAGTTCAATTTATTAAATATAAAATTAGCGATGAGTTAATGGAAATAATGGAAAGTGATAAAGATGAAGATGATCCAAAGATGAAATTCTTACGGGCAAAGCGAAAGAGTTCAAAAATTCGAATTAATTTAATTAAATTAAAGTTACAATTGTACGATAAATCAATAAAAGAATCACCATACTTTACTAAAGATTATTCCAGCTTGTCTTTTTCAACAACTACGACATCTACTTCATCTAATCCATATGAAATTTATTCAACATCTTCATCATCAGCATCAATCACAAATTTCACCAATAACGTTGACTTAACTTACGATTCAAGTTCAATCCCAGTAGAGATGATAGATCCGGAAATATTCAATATTTTACATGATGTTTTCAAATTAAAAAGTTTTCGATTAAAGCAAGAAGATGCAATAATTTCAACTCTTAATGGTGATGATGTATTCATTTTAATGCCAACTGGTGGTGGTAAAAGTTTATGTTATCAATTACCAGCTGTATTGGATAATAAGCGAAATAATAAAGTCACATTTGTAGTTTCCCCGTTATTATCACTTATGCATGATCAAATTTTAAATTTAAATAATTTAGGAATTCATGCTTTGGAGATACAAGGAAGTCAAGATAGTGAACATCGAAATATGGTTTATCGTGAACTTAGTAATCCTGCACCCAAACTTGCCTTAGTTTATTTAACACCAGAAATGTTAAATAGAAGTAATAAATTACAAGAATTAATTCAATTAGTTTATAGTAGAGGAAAATTGGCCCGATTTGTTATCGATGAAGCTCATTGTGTTAGTCAATGGGGTCACGATTTCAGACCAGATTATAAAGAATTGGGAAGAATAAAATCTAAATTCCCTGATATACCAGTGATGGCACTCACTGCAACAGCGACAGCTAGAGTTAAAAAAGATGTAACACATAATCTTTCTATACCAAATTGTAAAGTTCTTACAACTGGATTTAATAGAAAGAATTTGTCATATGAAGTTCGAAAGAAGAGTTATAAGATAGAAGAACAAATCTTTCAATTTATTCAAGATCCATCTAATCGAAGTAAAACGGGAATTATATATTGTCTTTCTAAAGCTTCATGTGAGAATGTAGCGAAAAAACTTACCGAATTAGGATTGAAAGCAGTCTATTATCATGCAGGAATGGATAAACGAGATCGAATAAGATTTCAAGAAGATTGGCATAGTGGTCGTGTTCAAATAATTGTAGCAACAACAGCATTCGGAATGGGAATTGATAAATCAGATGTACGATTTGTAATTCATCATTCATTCCCGCAATCTTTGGAAGGATATTATCAAGAAACTGGCCGAGCTGGAAGGGATGGATTAGGTTCAAAATGTATATTATTCTATTCATATATGGATAAATTTTCTATTGAAAAATTAATTGATTCTGGTGAAGGAGGTGATAGTCAAAAAAATCAACAAAGAGAAAACTTAAAAGAAATGATTCGATATTGTGAAAATCAAGTTGATTGTCGACGGGAAATAATCCTTCGTTATTTTGGAGAAAATTTCAATCGTAGGGAGTGTAATCAAAGTTGTGATAATTGTCGAAATCGATCAATGTACCCACGTAAACCATATGATGCTACCGAAGTAGCCAAAGCTATGCTACAACTTGTAAAATTAAATCAACATGCACATGTAACTATACAACAATTTGTTAAAATGATGAAACAAGATAACGATAAAAAATTATCCGAAGTTGTTCAAAGAAAAAACCTTGAACTTCCACCAGGATTTAAATCTACTGATCTCTCTCGAGACGATATAGATAAGATTTTTAAAATGATGGTACTTAATAATGTTTTAATAGAAAAGGCTATTCCCAATTATTCGGGATTTATTTCTTCATACATTAAGGTGGGTCCAAGAGCTGATGATTTATTAAATGATAAGACAGAAAGGATTATAATAAACCGTACACAAGTAAGTTACCTCAATTTCTTATTTATTAATATTCTTTATTAAATACTCTTCTTAATGAAATATTCTTCTTTATTAATATTCTTTATTAATATTTTTTTTAATATTGCGTAGGAAAAGAAAGGTAGAAAATCACAATCATAAGAATTTTTTAAGTGATTAAATAAGTTTCTAATGAAACGATTTCGTTTCTGTCATTATTATATTACTATATTATCCCTTATAGGATTTAATATCTAGTTTAATAGTTTATTAAAATTTATTTTTAATTTATTTTTAATTTTTATTCAATTTGATTATAATTATTATAATTATAAATTTCTTTAATTATTAATACAGAAAATACTAAATCAAAAGTAATAATAGTAATAATATAGATAATACTTGATAATACTGTAAATATATTTGATAACAATAAATTTTGATTTGCAGATTTATCCATTTGATTTAATATTAAAACTAGTCAATATTTTTTCCACAGTATTCCATTTTTTAATTTTAATTTAAAAATTCAAAATAAAAAATAAAAATGGATGTAAAGATTTTGTTTTATAAAGTTTAGGAAAATACATTTTTGATCAATCACAAGATTTATATGAGATATTTCAATATTCACTGGTCAAATAAAACAGTTTTATCATGAATAAGACTCTGATTTATGATAAGTTTTGCATAGTTTATTAATTGATTTTTTTCCAATTTATTCCAATTATTAATAGGACATCATGAATAAGATTATCATTGAACTATTATCAGAAGTCTTTGAATAAAAATTTTATTATTATTTCTAATTACTATATCAGTTCTTTATATATATATAATTAATGTAATACAAATATTAAATAATAATAATTAATAAAATACAATATATTAACCATATCACATTTTCTGAAAATGTGATTAGCAAGTATAATAGTTATAACATTTTGAGACTAATATATTAGGACCCTGGATAATATATATATATATAATAAATAAGATTTTCTTAGTTATATTCATAATATTTGTTATACTGTTTTTGATAATTACTTAATAAAATAAAAAGTTTTATATGTTATAACATATTTTTATAAAAATAAATAATTAATAGAGAAAAGTTATTTCTCATTCAGGTGAGTTTTTCATCCCATAATCACCTATAATTGTCATATGCATCACATTGTCTAGATATCAATTTTATTTAAAAAACTTATTTGTCATTTTATTTGTCATTTAGAATCACCTGATTTTTATTTGTAATCACATGAAAATGATTTTACTCAAGTAAGCAATATCTTATATAAGGAATAACATTACACATTAAATTATTTTAAATATAATTTTTGGTTAAAATTTTGTAAATCTTTTATCACTTATTTATGTATTATCTTAAATTCTCTTGAGATATTCTAGAAAGAATATAAAAAATTAAGGAGTTTACTGATTGGATCTTTATACAAGAACATAAAGATGCTGAATTATTTGAAATATGTTATTCTGAAATTTAAGTTATTTTTCAAAAATTACATAAACCAAAATACAAACTTGAAAAATAATATATTACATAAACCAAAATGCAAACTTGAAGAATAATATATTACAGAAAAAATACAAATTTTATAGAATTCTTACTTATGAAAATTTATATTAGCTTCTATTCAATGGAATTAATTTTTTATTAGTTGATATAACAAACAAAATTCTATAATTGAATTTATTACTTTTTTAAAAAAATTATATTTATCAAATTATTTTTTTAAAGAAAGAAAAATATAAAAAAAAATATCTAATGTAAGTTGCATTTAAATAAATTTATAATAAAAATAATAATATAAATTATTTCTTATATATTATATTTTTATAATATGAATTTGAACATGATCTAATATAAATTATTTATATAATTCAGAATTTTTACTTAGTAATAATAATAATATTTTTTGAAATTCATTTTATCAGATATTAAATACAAATAAAAAAGAACTTGATAGAAAAAGAATTTTTTTTTTTTATAATAACAAAAAAAATTTTCTTATAATATTTTAATAGAAAGATTAGTCGTTTGGAATTTATATAAACTCCAAACGACTTATATTAGACTACTATAGTCTCAGGTGTGATGAAGCAAAAGCAAAATGCTCGTCATTCGAATGACGAGGCAAAAGCAAAACGCTCGTTAAAGATGAGATGTTTATAATCTATATATCGGGTGTTATATAGGTTGCATTTGTATCGTCACTTGAGAGCCGCTGAGACATGCACCAGTGTGACGAGCATTTTGCTTTTGCCTCGTCATTCGAATGACGTGCATTTTGCTTTTTAGGCCGCACTCGAACTATCATATATCAGGTGACGATGCATTCAATTATATATCGTTATTTGTGGGCCCGATGTGAGGGCTATGTCCGAACTGGGCACGTAGTGCCCTAGCTTTCTGGTTAATTCCTCGATGAGGGCCAGAGTTAAGGCACGTAGTGCTGAAATAGTCTCACCTGGAAGGTTTTTGGGATGACAAAAAATATATCAAACTTGAGACACGTAGTACCGAATTGTTATCCTATCTGGTAATATACCAAAGCATCCGATGATGAAGCACATAGTGCCGAATTGTTACCCTTACTTGGTGATACGTAAAAGCAAAAATTTATCTTATCTCTTTCCTTATAATATTCTG